AATAAATAAATAATTATGTCTCTTCAAAAGGGACATAATTGATCTGTGAAATTTTATATGCTAAATAGTTTAGGGACCCATCCTTAGTCACAAATAAAGATAGTTTTTATTTAACAGTGTGCAGTACCTATTCTGATTCTTTTCACTTTTTGACTATTCTTAGATTACTATATATATTTTTACTTTATATCTATTATACCTATTATATCTAATATATGTTTTATATCTAATATACCTACCTTTATAATTTCTAATTATCTATCTATCATTTTTTTAACAATTATATAATTTAATTTAATTGCTTTTGAAAAAATATTTATATTAAATAAATATTAATAATTCAATTTATTAGTATTTAATTATATTATAATTTTATAATTATAAATATTTTATAAGTATTAATATTTGAAAAAATTTTTAATCTTAACTTTTTTTTTTCAAAAAAAATATTTGAATTTAACTAGAAATATAATAACAAAATATATTATATTTGTAAAATAATAATATAAGAGACATAAATAAAATATATGTATAGCAAATATTAATTTGTCTACAATTTATTATAATTTATAAAAAATAGAAAAAAATAGTAAATATAAAATACAAAGATATTAAAAAATTACAAATAAGAAAATTACAAAATAAATATTATATGCAATAAAACAATATACAATATATAATAAAAACTATTTATTTTAATATAGCTATTATTAATAAAATTATTAAATAAAGATATACTTAGCTAATATTAAATATAAAAAATATATAGTATATCTTTAGTAATATTAATACTTATTAATTTGTAAAAAGAAAACTATATAATTTAAATTTAAAAAAATATAAATTATAACTATAATTAGTTTGTTTTTATTAATAAAAAATTGTTTGTCTTTTTAGAAATAATATAAAACAATAATATAAAGATTTATAACCAATTTATATTTTATATAAAATTTGAAAAAAATTTTACTATTTAAGAAATTTTATAAAAATAATAAAAAGTTAATTTATTTAGTTTTACAGAAATAATAAACAGCAAATTTTATATGGAAATTCTTTATATATAAATATTTAAATCTAACAAATGCTAAGAAATAAGTAAAAGTTTCAATAAAACAAAAATTTAAAATATATAAGCAAAATTATTAAAAAGTTTTTTGAAGAGAAAGTATTTTATATTTAAATTAATCTATCAAAAATTTCAATTTAAAGCTTACATAAAATTTAAAAGATATAGATATATTTTTAAATTATTATATTATAGATTTTTTTATCTCAAAATTAAAATATTAAAATATTCATAATTTTTTAAATTTTATTTCAAATTTTTTATTTAATATTATAATTTTGTTTTTTTTTAAAAAATAATATTTAAAATAATATTTTGTTTTTTTTAAAAAAAATTTCAAGTGTTATTATATAATAGTTTTATTTTTTTAAAGTATTTTAATTTCTAAAGTTTTTTTTAAAATTATTTTATTTTAAAGATTTTATTTTTATTTTTAAATATACATATATTAAAATAATATAAAAATAGTATTAATTTATAATAAATATAGTATTATTAAAGTTATTATTATTATTATTATTATTATATACAGTATATATATTTTCAAGTTATAGTTATATATAGTTAAATATTTTTTGAATTGATGTTATCTTGTCAATTAATTATAATATTATTTTTTTTTAATTATATATTTGAATTTTTTGTTGTTTTTTTTTTTAGGATTATTTTTAAGAATAATTATAATAATTATAATTATAATTAGTATATTTTTATACAAATTGTAATTATTTATTTAAAAATATACAGTAACTTACCTAAGTAATTTAAAATTAAAATTTATAAGTTAAAGTTTTTAAATTTTTATTAAAATGGTTTTATAATTAAGATTTTATATCATGATAAATTATAATATTATAAATATCATATATTGATTTTTATGTGTTATTTATTTATTATTTTTTGAATTTTTTGAATTTTCTATATTTTTTTAATATATATTTTTGAATTTTATTTTTTTTCTAATGAATAAATAAGTTTTTAATTTTTTATTATATTTTTTGATACTTTAATATATGTTATTATAAATTTTATTAAATATATAAAATTTTTTTAAATAATTTCAATTTCTTATTTAGTTAAAGATATATTTTATTTGTTTGTTGAAATACCAATTAATTTTTTGAATTTAATTACATATATATTTAGTTTAAAATACGTTTACATGCATATGAGCATGTTATTATTTGAAAAAGAAATCAAGTTTTGTGATAGATCTTTTAAAACTTTAGTCAAAGTTGAAATAAAAAACCATTATCAGTTTATTATAATTCATGAATAATAATTATTTGATTTTTAGTATAGGCAAATATTTTATACATTTATTTTAATTAAAGATCATTAAGATAAATAATTTATAAATATTTGTGAAATTATGTAATGATGTTTAATCGAGTTAAAAAATTATGACGCGCCTAAATTTAGAAAGATTATTTTAATAATGTAATTACATAATTTCATATACGAAAACCAATCGATCATTTGCATGTAATCTACAACTCGGGAAATGTGAAAAAAATATGAACAACAAATTATATTCGGAAATGCATTTTAGTAGATATAGTAAGAATAAAGTTTAAATTTTTATTTTTATTTTTATTTTACATTTGTGTCGAGAGAAAAAGCAAACAGTCAATTATACAACATTTATTTATCATTATTAATTTTTTGACGTCAAATTCAATGATTGGTCAGACTATATATTCACATTATTCACTGTTGGCATGAAGTGTAAACGTGAGATCCTGATTGACACGTCGTATTTCTCGGAAATTTGCTATAATGTGATGTCGCGCCAACTCCGTATTCGATCAATGTCGAAGATTTCTGAGATTGGGCAGTTTGTGATTCTGTCAATTGCGATGTTCTCTCCGTTTCCATGGACTCATGGATCTTAGGTCTCATCAAATTTAGAGTGATACTGATTCCATTTCCATTTTCCGGCAGTCCGAATAATTGACCCAGCCTATTGTTAGTCGGACTCTTGTAAAGCAACGATTCGGGGTCCGCCAAATTCTTTTCTATGGCTGCCATAACAGTATGAAAAATTTTAATAATATCTCGGTCGTTTTTGACGATGGATGGATCGTGAAGGATAACATCCACTTGATCGTATAAAGATTTTAGCAAGGGATTGGCCTGAATTTGGGAACGTTCCATTCGAGCGTGGAAATTCCGTGACATCGGTGAAGTTTGAGGTGTGGAATCACTAGCGGAAGATGAGGATGAAGGTTGAACTGTTTCCGCAACCTGAGAGTCCATGCGAGATAACGATGAACGGGTTCCATTGTTGATGAAATGATGAGAATATTGCGGGGTTCGCAGTGATAAGGTGGAGCGAGTATCTTCAGTTATGGTTTCATTGAATCGAGCCATTTTTTCAAGAGAATATTGAGATGAGATTCGTTATAAGCAAAGTATGGTTTTCCAAATTGAAGAAATTTCAATTGCTGAAATGAGGTGTTATATATATGTAATTTCTTTCTCATTGCTGAAATGAGGTGTTATATATATGTAATTTCTTTCTCATTGCTCCAGTAACATCTTACTAACTCAAAAGTGTAATACATCACATTTGTGCTCCAAATGAAGAAAGAAAAAAATGCAAGTCACGAATAAAACATTATTATGATTTTCATATTTGAAGAAAGTTGCTATAATATATTATTATTGGCGAATAAAGTCAGGGAGACAAATTATAATAATAACGCAACGTTATCAACCTTGCCAAATAATATCGTAGATACAATTGATATTTATAATTTAGTTAAGGTTGTTCTTGGGAAATGCACGTCCTTACTCAATTGATCCGACAACTGGGAAAATTTCATTATTACTGTAGTATAATTAAAGCTAAATATTCTCATTCATGTTATGCTTGAGTTAATTGTTTGCGATCTTTTTGATTCTGTTTTAGGGATTGCATAGCAATCCTGCGCGTGGTTTCAACTTTGTGAAGTGCGCACTGCATGCCTATTCCATAGTTGGGACCGAGAACTGAAATTTGACCCCAAATTTATATGACAACCGAAGATTTTTTTTACGGCAAACTTATAGTTGAATTTTTTTGTAATTTCGCGCGAGATACACATTCAAATTTGGTATATTCAACAAATATAATAGTAAGTGTCGTGTGATGAAATTTTCTCGAAAAGGCGAGTCGAGGAGAATAGTAGTTCCCCTTTGGACTTCTTAATGTTGCTGCTTTACGATCGTACATATATTCGTCTTTTCCTATTCAGGAAAAGCATGAGAAAATTAACGAATATTGTATTATACATACTGCACGAGATTGGTTTTTGCTTTGTTCGCTACGCACACCTAATCTTAAGATTGATGGTAGTATTGTGTAACATGTTCTACCATCTCACATGGTAATAAGTGGCACGGACGCATTTGATTAACTTGACAAAGATGTCAACAAATTGTAAGTTTCCTTTAATCTTTATAAATAATTATTTTAACTCTGAATAATTTAAATCACCTTTTAATAATCTTCTAATGAATGAAAAATTTCTGCCTTTAAAATTTAGTAAACGTTATACCAGATGATGTTACCTCTTATAAAACGAAAGAATACTGGGAGAAACGTTACTCCGAGTACATATTTTTTCTATCTGTTTATTAAAGATTGAATATTTTGCTTTTCTAAATACACTCTATAATTAGAGAATCACCTGCGACTACGTTTGATTGGTTTAAAACATTTCAGGATTTAAAACTTCTGTTTGATAAGCATCTACCTAACAAAGAAATCAAGATACTGATGTTGGGATGTGGCAATTCGAGTAAGGAGACTTTATTTTCTTTGTCAACAAATGATGAGTGATCAAGTAGATTTTTCATTCTTCTTGTTACGTAGCACTGTCGGAAGACATGTATGACGAAGGATACCATAATATTGTGAATGTTGATTTTTCTGAAACAGTGATTGAAAATATGAAAAATCGATGCGTAGATAGGACTGGAATGACATGTAAGTTTGTAAAGCGAAATATATTGAAAATCCGTTTTATTCAAAATTTGATTACATTAATAGGGTTGGTAATGGATATCCGAGATCTAAAGTTTCTTGATGAAGAGTTTGATGTGGTGATTGATAAAGGTAGATCGTAGAAATTATGAGGAATCAAAGAAGGATCGGTTACAGTCATTTATTTACTTTAGGTACAATGGACGCATTGATGTGTGATGATGGAGATGTATGGAATCCGAAACCTGAAGTAGTAGAAAACGTAAAACGTGAAGTCGATCAGGTTGTAAGGTAACGTATTTACGTCAATAAGAATTTTTTCTTTGGCAAAGAATTCACCTGAGCTTTCCGTCTGTCGTACTTTCTCAGGGTGTTGAAAGTCGGAGGAAAGGTACTACAGATTTCTTGAAATCATCTGTCGTGTACCTAATTTAGTGATAATTTCTTATTGTTATGGATTATACTCGGAAGTTTATATATATAACTTTCGGTCAACCGCATTTTCGTCGTAAGCATTTGGAAAGGCCGTGTTGGAACGTAAACATCGAAACGTTAGGTGAGATCAAATAATAGAGTTCTGGATTTTGCTTTTTTCGCTTAATATGTTACATATGTTTTTAATCTTATTTTTGCACTCGCTTAAAGGAGACGCTTTTCACTACTTTTTTTATTATATGATAAAGAGCGGATGATTTGTTTCTGTATAATTCTTAGTATTTACATTATAATTTGACATAGGAAAGGTTTAAATAAAAATGTTACACACTTGTGTCATTTGTTTATAAGTCATGATGTGTAAATGCTGTGCATACATAACGTGTAACGATAACATTCTTAATAAAAAGCTCAAAGTTGATAATCAGAACAATCTTACATTTAAAAAAATGATGGATTCATGGATAGGATTGATCTTCGTGACATTAATATGTTATGTAGTTTACAGATTTCACGTTCATCCATTATACATATCACCTACTTGTAAGATACCGGGCCCGCCGGTGGATCATTTATTTTTGGGAAATGTCAAGAATCTGATCAAGGCTGAGGTATCCATCGAAAATCTCATCTAACATATTTCATACTAAACTCACCTTCTTTATTATCTCACGAATGCATATTTTTAGCCTGGCGGAATGCAATACGAGTGGGCTCAGAAATACGGTGGCTTCGTGTGCTACCATTCCTTGTTCAATCGACCAATGCTCTCAATCACTGATCCTGACCTATTGCATAAAATTATTGTTAGCAATGCCTACGATTTTTCTAAACCACCTCAGATGATTAATGACCTTAAAGCGGCGCTTGGATGTGGACTCATTATCGCAGAGGGTGTCATGCATCAAAAGCAGAGAAGGATGATGATGCCTGCATTCAGTTTTTCCAATGTCAAGGTATGTAAGGTGGTTGTAAGAGTTTTGTAGATCTTTGTTTTTAACAAGACTCATTTGACAGGAAATGATACCCACATTTGTCCATGTAGCTCATCAGCTAAAGTCTATATGGGTAACTAAGATCGCAGATGGAGAGGAGCGAATAGTGATTTCTCCTTATTTTTTAAAAGCCACTCTGGATGTTATTGGATTGGTCGGTATGTATTTAATCGATTCACTTGGTGTTCGTCGTATGTAGTGGTGTTTTGAGGATGATCATGATATTTTCTAACATTTTAAAATATTACGACGGAAGGTTTCGACTATTCATTTAACAATCTCACCTCATCCAACGAATTGGCTACCGCCTATGATGAAATATTCAATTACGAACCTACCCCGTTAAATACTGCGCTAAAAATCTTGGCAACTTTCATCCCCTTTGTTCGAAAGATCCCTTTTTCTATTAACCTTAGACTAGACCGAGCAATCAAGGTCGTAGAAAAAAGATCGATGCAAGTGATTCAGGAGAAAAAGAACCTAGCATCCAAGGGAAAATTGCAGGGACGGGATTTGATGAGTTTGCTAATAAATATCAACGAGAATGAGAAAGAAGACGCAGAAAAGATGACGGATTTGGAGTTGCAGTATCAGGTTGGTGTCGAGGATATCATATTTTTGGTATTCACCCTCTTTCCCGCATTTACCTCATCCATGATCTTTACAGATAATGACGTTTCTAGCAGCAGGCCATGAAACAATAGGTTCCAGTATGTCATTTTCTCTCTACCTACTCGCACAGAATCCTCGATGTCAAGAAAAACTTCGACAAGAACTTATCGCCGCATTTCCCGATCCAAAATTTAAGCCCACGTTTGACGATCTCAACGGGTTGGAGTATTTAAACTGCGTATTTAAGGAGGTATTGAGGCTTGCGCCATCAAGTAAGGAAGAAACTTACTCTTTGATAACATTACCTATGGATCCAAAAATTAATGTTCCAATATTACCTTTAAAAAGTACCACTTGTAATTAGATCTCCTAGAGAGGATACTGTGTTGAACGAATACACAATACCGAAAGTATGCAGCATCTGTATTTCTGCTATCCAAATAGTTTTATGTTTCGTTATTTAATTTAATGAATACATTTTTTTTTTAGAATACACCAATAGTGATCCCGATTTTTGCAATCCACCGGCTGCCCTCAGTGTGGGGTGAAGATGCCGAAGAATTCAAACCCGAGCGATGGCAATCGATCAAAACCTTGGATGGGAACAATTTCTCCTACCTTCCATTCTTCAGTGGTCCTAGATCTTGCATTGGAAATAAGATTGCGTTAAATGAATTTAAGGTTTTCTTGTCAGTGTTAGTGAGGAACTTCCGGTTTAGGGAGGTTGAAGATTTTAAGATAAAAAAGATTCAGGGTATGGCGTTAAAAGCATTCCCAAATATTGAGTTATGGGTGTCAAAAGTGAGCGAGCAGGAAGACGAGAAATAATCATAGGGATAATATTTGTAAATTGTATTTAAATACTGTATTTATACTATAACTGTTTAGGAAGTAAATACTCGCCATATTATAAAGTATTGTGATTATGATCGAAAATAAATTTATCTTTAAAAAATCGTATACAGTAATATTTAAAAATTTTTTATTATATAAATATTAAAAATAAATGTCTAAAAAAATAATTTTCCAATAAAAAATATATATCTTTTATTCTTCTAAATATTTCAATCAAGAAATTGAATTGATTACCTAAATATCCATTGTAAAATATATTTTACAGTATTTTGAAAATAACAAAAACATAAATATACCGTGCATATATTAAAAAATAGGTTTTAAAAAAAAAAAAAAATGATAAAAAGAAAATCATACCATTGTAGCCAGTGAATTAAATAGTCATGGTTAATAAAATAAATCGAAATAAAAAAAAAATAAAAATAAATATTAAAAACAAGAAAATTGTGCATTTTTAAATAACAAATAAATAATATAAAAATAAATAAATAAATAAATATTAAACAATTTTAAATAATATTTTAATTTTGACATTTTAGATTGATTATTCAGTAAACATGGACGTATTGGTGTACAGTATTTATTAAGATCAAAGATATCGCGACGCGAAAGTAAAAACAAAATAAATCTTGGCATCAATTTATACGGTATAAATGCAAATAAATAAATAGAGGAAATTAAAATGAAAATTGCGTTCTGGTTTTCTAGTTTTATGACTGATTGACGTGAACAGAATTTTTGGGGTTGCCATGTAACTGGTTTAGACTAGTTTAGCCACTGATCAGAGCCTTAGACAAAGTTTATTAGTACCTTATACTGTACTGTAACTGTGTCGCGCGCAATTTACTTGGACTTTCGAAAAGTTCTTTGTGGGTCTCACAATATCCGTGCGGAACCTTTGTTACATACATTTTATCTCATACTATTGTACTAGGAAAGGCACTGCCATTTTTATTATTCATGCATGCGATTATGTTTTGTGTGGTACGACCTTCCTAAATTTAATTTTAACAGCATTCTATAAATTTATCTTACGTAACTGCGTCCGTGCAGCCGCGATCTATCTCGGAAACAAACATCAAATCTTGCAAAAATCTTCAAGCTAGAATTCTCCGGGGATAATTTCTGATGCGATGTCTTCGAATACCGTAGCTGATCTCACTAATCTTCCGCAAAATTTTGAAATTTCTCCAGACAAAACTCATGCGGTTTTTAGCATTCCGCTTGAAAAATCCAACAATGATGATAGAGAATATCGACTGATCAGATTAGCCAACGAGTTGGAGGCTTTGTTGATTCATGATCCGAATACTGATAAATCAAGTGCTGCTATGGATGTTCATGTTGGACAGATTCATGATCCGGTATTTTTTTTTTTCTTTTTCATAAAGAAATTTCTTTCGTTGAGATTAAGTAAGGTAGGGTAGGTAACCAATAAATAATTGTGAAACTGTATTGCAGCCAAATCTTCAGGGTCTTGGTCATTTTTGCGAACACCTATTGTTTATGGTACGATCCGGTGCTTATATATTTATATTTTTGGGTTGTTAATGGATATAAAATTCTAATATTTTTCAATTTTGCAGGGAACCACTAAGGTATTTATGAACGAAACTCATCGCAATGGTCAATTGTCTACACATACCTCGTAAATAAAATACCTTTTCTAATTAGTATCCTAAAGAAAATGAGTATTCCGAGGTAATCTTTAAATACATAAAATTTATTTGTCGTTTTTCTTGCTGCCATATTCTAGCATTCATGATCTTTATGGTAAATAGTATTTGACCAAACATAACGGAAGTAGCAATGCTTACACCAATGTAGATGATACCAATTATTATTTTGAAGTTGGACACGAACATCTCGAAGGCGCTTTGGATAGGTGTGATTTTCTTATTCTTAATTCAGCAATTCTTCAAAGACACCAAGACATATAATTAAATCAAGACTTCTTTTATAGGTTCGCACAATTTTTCATTCATCCCCTTTTCAACGCTGATTGTACTGATAGGGAACTCCGCGCTGTTGACTCTGGTGACATTTCAAATCAAGTCTCATCTATCAATTCTTTATTAGTAATAGCGCACATCCTATTTGAATACATTAATGATTGATCATTAATAATAGAGTACAAGAATAATCTCCTGAATGATGGTTGGAGGAAATATCAGTTGGAAAGGAGTCTTTCTAATCCGAATCACCCGTTTTCACAATTTGGGATTGGCAATCTTGAGTCTCTAAGGGAAATTCCCCTTAAGGAAGGTCTCGATGTTCGGGAAGAATTAATAAAACATCACAAAAAATACTATTCTTCCAATCTGATGAAATTAGTGGTGTTGGGTAGAGGTGAGTTTTAACATGATAAATTACATATGTTCATGATACTGATCTTGAGAATTTGGGCATGATAATAATATTTGAGAATTTCACATTAATTTTTTTGTGAATTCATTTGCTATCATTATATAAGAACCTTTGGATCAGTTAGCTAGATGGGTCGTTGAGAAATTTTCGGAAGTCGAAAACAAATCAATTCCCATACCCATACCCGATGGATATCCTATAACTGAAAAAGAATTGGGTGTAAATTCAACTTTTTACTTGGATAGGAATCTTCTTTTCAAAAATCATAGCTTTAATATTTTAATATGCTTTTGTGCAGAACCAAATTTCCTTGAAGCCAGTTAAAGATCAGCATTCTCTCGAAATTACATTTCCGTTTCCAGATCAGTATCCGTTATATGAAACGAAGGTAAGGAGAAATTTTTTAAAAATCTTTTAACTTTATAATTGAGTTTACGTATAATTGTATATATGTAGCCTGCCAGTTACATAACTCATTTGATCGGGCATGAGGGTCAAGGATCGATTTTGTCACTTTTAAAAAGAAAAGGTTATTTAAGAAAAATACGACTTTTTTTGTCACCTGTCTCACATTTACTCATTGAATCACTACCTCTTCTTTTAGGATGGGCAAATAGGTTAAGTTCTTATTCTATACATCAAAGTGTTGGGTTCGAGGTGTTCAAGATTTCGATCGAACTTACTGAAGACGGTCTTGGTAATTACTTTTGGAATTCGTTTAAACATTTAAGTTCATATCAAACTAACTTATATAAACTTTGAACAGCTCGTTATGAAGAAATTTTGGAAATTTGTTTTCAATATATTGACATGTTAAAGCAACTTGATCCTGAAGAACAGGGGCGTGTGTTCAAAGAGGTAGATGTAACCAGGGTTCACTATATTGGATCGCAATTTGGAAAAGTTTTGAAATCTGTTAACCATGACCTTTTGATTGCTTAGGTTCAATCAGTCGAAGTAATTGATTTTAGATTCCAAGAGAAAAGCTGGCCGTCCTACTACACCTCAGAACTTTCTACTTACATGCAACGTCCATATCCGCGTGAGTGGATATTAAGTAGCCCACATTTGTCTCGAAGATATGATTCAAAGTCCATTACCGAGGGCTTGTCATATTTAAGCTGGGATAAGTGTGTCCTCTCGTTGTCTAGTAAATTGTTAAATGGACTTGATAAAAAGGAACAATGGTTTGGTACGGAGTATAAATTTGAACCCATTAGCGAAGGATTATTAAAGGTACGTATAAAATGTACTGGCTGGTGAATGTTTTTAGACCCACTTTAAAATCTTTACATTATATTTTCTATAGTCTATGCAAAATCCTGCTTTATATCCCGATCTCAAAATTCCACCGGAGAATGAGTTCATTCCATCAAATTTTGAAGTCAATAAGCTTGAAAGCGTTAAGGTAGATTAAATTGATCTTTAGGAAATAATTATTTTGATAATACTAACATTTATCGAATCATATCTTTACTTATTCAGCCCTTAGAGCACCCTTTTCTCATTAAAGACACAAAAATATGTCGTCTTTGGCATAAAAAAGACGATCGATTCTGGGTTCCAAAGGTTGAGGCTCATTTTTTATTGAAGACGTATGTATTAGGAGTAATTAGGATCCTTTTTAATTTGTCACAAGCGCACATACCTGATTTTAAATGATATCAACGTAACCTTAATGATAGCCCGGTTGCTCATGTCACACCATTACATTCCGTCAAAACACGATTGTATGTTGATCTAGTCAATGACGCTCTTACTGAATTTTCTTATGGTGCGTCTATTGCTGGCTTGGTCTATTACTTTTATGATCAAGATAGTGGCATTGGTGTATCAGTGGTCGGATATAACGATAAGGCTACCCATCTCTTAGAAAAAATTCTTGAGAAAATGAAAGATTTCACGGTTGACCCCGAGAGATTTGCCAAAATCAAAGAGGAACTAAAGAGAGTATATCAAAATCGTTTACTAGATCCCCCAGCTAGACTTTCCAGGTATTATACATCATACATCATCAGACAAAACATGTGGACCTTTCAAGAAAAACTTTCTATGTTAGAGCAAGTTAAATATGAAGATGTGCAAGAATTCTACCCAAGATTATATGAGCAGATGTTTTTTGAGGGATTAGTGCACGGAAATATGAATAGATCGGAAGCCTTTAATATGATGGATACTATCGAGAGGGTATTAGGATCGAAGGAATTACTACCTTCGCAATTAATTGGCGATAGAAGTATATTGTTACCAGCCGGGAAGAAATATGTTTATTTCCAAGAAGTTTACGACAAAAAAGAAATTAACTGTGCCATAGATTACAGCATACAAATCGTAAATGAAAAGCTGGATTCCAAATTAAGAGCAAAGTTGGATTTAGTTGAGCAAATTGCCGATGAACCTTGCTTTGATCAGTTAAGAACAAAAGAGCAGCTGGGTAATTAATTTCTATACCTGAAAATCAATAAAAAAACTTTCCCTCTAATTTCATGAAACTTTTTATTGACTATTCGCTTGTAGGGTACTCGGTATATTGCATGACAAAAGAGGCGCCAGGTATATTGGAGTTCAGGATAATCGTTCAAAGTGAAAAGGATGCCGTTTATTTGGAGAATAGGATTGAAGCGTTTTTATTTAAATTACAGGTATTTTACAATTGAAAATGATTTTTTTTTCTTACGAATTTCGTGAAATATTGATTGTCTTTGATTTACCGATGAATAAATAGGAAATAATCGAGAATCTTTCGGATGAAGAATACAAAAAGCACGTGAATTCGTTGATTGAAAAGAAATTGGAGAAGGACAAAAACCTTGGTGAAGAAAGCCGGAGATACTGGGAAATTATTTGTTCCGGGCGTTATGAATTTAACAAAAGTGAGTTTAGATAAAATTTATTGTCAAATATATTGAATGTTATTCCTCTTCTTAATATTCCTCTATAATCACATGTTAATGTGCAGTTGAGTTCGACACCAAAATTCTTCGCGAGCTCACAAAATCGGAACTTTTGGAATTTTACAAAACTTACATTCACCCCAAGTCCCCTAGTCAAAAGAAGATCTCGACTCACATGAAATCAAAAAATCTTGATATAATTAAAATGTTCAATAGAATTGATACAAAAAAACTGCACGAATTTGTATCATCACAAGGATTTTCTGCTATCACCATTGAAGAATTGCAAAAGGCGATGGACGCATTAAAGGTGCAGGCTGCTGGATTAGATCAAGGCGAGGTCGAAGTCATAGTGAAAAACTTCTTTTTGGTTAAAATTGGCAGCGATGATGCGAGTGTATTGGAAGCATTAGACAAAATAGCGCGTAATTTGGTTGGTTTGATTTATGGGAATAAGGACGGGACAGGCGGAAATTTCGAAAAGGAGCCCGATGATGATAATCAGCAGAAAGAGCGGAAGGATGATTATAGATTATCAGATGATAATGAAATTATTGAAGATATAGTTCTATTTAAATCTAGAATGGAATTAAGCTCCGCGCCTTATCCTCTTTTTCCTTTAACCAGTTTTTATGAAAAGTAGATTGTATTCTAAAGAATAGTGTGCCGAATGTATTCTATTATTAAATTATATGGTCACATGATGAATTCATTGGCATCCGTAAACCATACATTGGTCGCAAAAAAAATCAATTCATGAATATTTTATTTGTGAGGAAATTGCAATAAAACAAATTTTGGATCCACGATATTTCTTTGCACATATTCTTATTGCTTGTCATCAATTGGTTGTCCTTTCATCGGTATATTAAAACAAATTATTTCATTGTATAAACCAAAATTATCATTTTTCAAAACTGATACGAAAAAACATGTACGCGACTAGGAAATGAAAACCATCATACGGTTTTTCTATTTCTTCACTTAACAGTTTAAATTATATCTTAATTATTTAGTTGTAAAGTTCCCGGAATATCTTAAAGAAAATAAGCGGACGCGTCACGCCAACCGATAAATATAAACTCTGTCATAGTGAAATGGGTATTAAGAACTTTTTGGATAATATTATAAACATTTCTCCAAGCACCGGTTACTTTTCTAGACTCTATAAATTTTAATAAAAGGTAACTTGATTCGCCGCCAGTATTTCGGTTGGTGACTTTTGGCAGAAAAGTGTTCGTACTTTGTAAAATTCCGGGTTATAATATATTGTACCGGTAACTTTTTATTCATGCTCAATACAAAGAATCTGACAAATAGACCACCTGATAATTTGTGGGAAATATCTTTTGTTTCTGCTTCTCTACGAACAAATAGTTTAATGACATCGTTTCGGGAAGATTACACCTCGTATTGCTATTTCCAATTTCTATTTTGAAGCGCAATTTGATATCACTGTTGTGTTGAATTGTTGATTCTTTATGAACTCGTGAATTCCTAAAAAATTCGATGGTATTTTCGTTTTTACATGACCTCGTCTAGATCCCTTTTTACGGTAGAATTTTGATATTTTATTTTCTCGTATCTTCTGAGTCTAACTTTTGCAAATCACATCAAAGATGACATTTCCTTCTAAGGAACTTTTGTTTATCTTAGGGGAATTATTAGAACTCTAAAACCTATTGTATGCAGATTATTTTAATCGGTCTGACAAACTTGCGCGTGATGATCACTCACATGTATATTCATGGGTACATTACGATATTATAAGTAAATATTTTGATCTTGAATGTTTTTTCCATAATGCTCTGCTATATGTTTTCGCAGAACATTTCCATATTTGAATGTTTCAATAAGCCCTTTTCTTCGGGGAAACGTAAATTTAATACGTTAATCGGAGAACTTATACAGTATTACGTATTACGTATTGTTTGTGCGTACACTCATGTCTGTACAAAAATTCTTTTCGAGCTTGTTGTGTGACATGAATTCCTAAACTAAAGTATTGATTTAGTATTCTATGGTACTGTATGTTTATCACATTTATATTCAATTAAGTATTTAGCCCCAATTCTATACTTAAGCAACAAATTTTGTTTGATTTTGGATTTCTCGGTCAAATTTTTTCGATTACAATGTCTACGATTATCGCTGAAAACCCTCCGCAGAATTTCACGGTTTCTCCTGATAAAACTCATTCAATTTTTAGCATTCCAATCGAAAAATCGGATAATGACGATAGGGAATATCGGTTGGTTAAATTAGCTAATGAATTAGAGATATTGCTAATTCATGATCCGAAGACGGACAAATCAGCTGCTTCCATGGACGTTCACGTTGGACAGATTCATGATCCGGTATTTCATAGCTATCATAAATATAAAAGCTCGATAGCGCTCGCGAGTAACAAGCCTCTTTCTTTTTTATTAATACAGCCAGATCTTCAAGGCCTCAGTCATTTTTGCGAACACTTGTTATTCTTGGTAAACCATAGGATTATTTGATCTTTAAGTATACCGGCGTACACAAATTAAATTCATCTTTTTTTTTTTTTAGGGAACATCCAAAGTATGCTGTATATTATTCAGTACATGTTTTTTGCATTTGTATAAACCAGTGAATTCAACATGTGTTTTTTCATATACTTATATTAATAGTACCCTAAAGAAAACGATTACTTTGAAGTGTGTGTTCAACATTTTTGTTTGTTCTGTACTATCGATATTTTATACTTACAGCAACCATCATGTTCCATAGTATTTGACCAAACACAATGGATATGGTAATGCTTACACCAATGTGGAAAACACAAACTATTATTTTGAAGTTGGCCACGAATTTCTCGAGGGGGCTTTGGATAGGTAAAATTTTCGATCCTTTATTTTTGTGTAAAATGATTGTCATTACGTTCTTTCGCAATATAATAATAATAATGTTTGTTCATAGATTTGCTCAGTTTTTTATTCATCCTCTTTTTAATGCCGATTGTACTGAAAGAGAAATACGCGCTGTTGATTCAGGTCAAAAAAACGTCCTTCTTATAATATTGACCATTAAATATTTTACTTAATTCTGCTTTTTTGCTTAATCATATTTACAAATCAATTATATCAATTACAATAGAATACAAGAATTATCTCCAGGATGATGGTTGGAGAAAACTTCAGTTGGAAAAAAGTCTTTGTAATCCGAATCATCCATTCTCACAATTTGGAGTTGGAAATCTTGAATCCTTAAAAGAAATTCCTCTTAAGTCAGGACTGGATATCAGAGAGGAGTTAATGAAGCATCATAAAAAGTATTATTCTTCCAATATAATGAAATTAGCTGTGTTAGGAAAAGGTATGTATTTTTGAGTGATAAATGTATATAAGTATGCGTACGTGGTGCATTCTGTTCATTTTATGTAACAAGAAAAATCCATTACTGTAAAGAACCTTTGGATCTTTTAAACAAATGGATTATCGAAAAATTTTCGGAAGTCGAGAATAAATCCTTACAGATACCTATTCCTGACGGACACCCGATAACAAAAAATGAATTGGGTGTAAGCTTCTCTTATTTATAAAAATGTCTGCTTGCTTTTTACTGTAAGTTGATTGTTTAAAAATTTTATTACTTATTTACGTAGAATCAAATTTCGTTGAAGCCAGTTAGAGATCAACATTATGTAGAAATTACTTTCCCAATTCCCGATCAGAGCTCATTGTATGAGACAAAGGTAAGGATAAACCATGATTTTTGCATTTTGCAACAATATATCGCAATAATATTTACATGAAACCCTTTAATTTCTGAAGCCTTTTGAATTATTATCCCATATTATTGGACACGAAGAAAAAGGATCAATACTATCACTTTTAAAAAAAAAAGGTAACCCGCTTTCTGCGTAGAAAAATTATTGTTTTTTTACCGAGTTAATGGACTTCGAGAGGATTGTTTCGCGGTTGAGTGAAGGAAATTTCTTGCAGAGAACATCGTTTCACTTTTATTATTTTTTTCTTTCGACGATTTCTCTGCGTATCTAGGATGGGCAAATGGATTATATAGTGGATCCTTTTATCAGTGCAAGGGATTTGAGGTATTCAAGATTTCAGTTGATCTTACCGAAGAGGGATTTGGTAATTATCTTCTGAATTTATTCGAGCATTTCATGCGATTTACAGTAGCAAATCATTAACACAAATCATATAGGTCATTATGAAGAAGTTGTAGAAATTTCTTTTCAATATATTAATATGCTAAGCCAACTTGATGCTAAAGAGCAAGAGCGTGTGTTTAAAGAGGTACATTTAAGACAATGGTCATTATACCAAATTAGGTCACAGTATGCTTTGAAACGTTTACTTATACTGGGAATCATAATCCAATAATCTCATAGGTTCAATCCGTTGAAGCAATTAATTTCAAGTTTCAAGAAAAGGGTTGGCCGTCTTACTATGTTTTAAGGCTTTCGAGCCAAATGCAACGGCCATATCCACGTGAATGGATATTGAGTAGTCCATATTTAACCCGAAAGTACGATCCGGCGTCTATTGCCGAAGGACTGACATATTTAAGATGGGACAATTGTATTCTCACACTATCAAGCAAATTACTAGGTGAGCTTGACAAGAAGGAGCGATGGTTTGGTACGGAATATAAAATTGAACCAATTAGTGAAAAATTATTAAAGGTATGGACAAAATATTTTGGCTAGTATGTGATTTAGAACTTTCCTAAATATTGCATAACATTTTCCACAGGCCTTGCAAAGTCCTACACTGCATCCTGAACTCGAGGTTAACCCAGTAAATGAATTCATTCCGTCAAACTTTGAAGTTAACAAGCTTGAAAACATCAAGGTATATATAAGCATATTTTTTTCTCAAAGGAAAAAAATGGTTTGATATTAGAAAAATATATAATTAAGATATATTTTATAAATGTAGCCCTTGGAACATCCTCACCTCATTAAGGATACAAAATTAAGTCGTCTCTGGCATAAAAAAGATGATCGATTTTGGATTCCAAAGGTTGAAGCTCATTTTTTATTGAAGACGTATGTGAGATATAAGTTTCTATAATTTCTTAGTAATGCGCAAATTGCAAGATTTCAAGTCTAAATGACACACGTTATATTTATAATAGTCCAATCGCTTATACCACACCATTACATCATGTTAAGACTCGATTATATATTAGTCTGGTCAACGATTCTCTCACCGAATTTTCGTATGGTGCCTTGATTGCCGGTTTGGGTTATTATTTTGATAGTTGGGGAGACGGAATCGCAATATCTGTGCTCGGATACAATCATAAAGCCACTCATTTTTTGGAAAAAATTCTTGAGAGAGTGAAACATTTTACCATCGACGCAAAGAGGTTTGCTAAAATCAAAGAGGAATTAAAGAGATCTTATCAAAATCGTTTGCTTAATTCTCCATCCAGTCTTTGTTCATCCTACGCGTCATATATAATTTGTCAAAACGTGTGGACTACTCAAGAAAAACTTTCAGTATTAGATCAAATCGAATGTGAAGACGTGCAACAGTTCTATCCAAAATTATTTAGGCATATGTTTTTTGAGGGAATAGTACACGGAAATGCTAATAAATCGGATGCTATCGAAATGATGGAGATTATCGAAAGAACACTGGGGTCAGAAGAACTATTACCTTCACAATTGATTAGTGATAGAAGTACATTGTTACCAGTAGGAAAGAAGTATGCTTATTTTAATGAAGTTTTTGATAAAAAGGAGATCAATAGTGCTATTCATTACTGCATACAAGTGGGAGATACAATAGACCCACAAATGAGAGCGAAGTTATACTTGTTTGGGCAGATTGCCAGTGAACCTTGCTTTAATCAACTGAGAACAAAAGAGCAGCTGGGTACTTTATTTTCTACTAATAACTTGTAAAATTTTCTACTAATTTATATAATGATTCATAACACCTTTATATTTATTATTATTTTAATAGGGTATTCTGTATATTGTTATTCAAACGAGTTGGTCGGCGCAATGGAGTTCCGAGTAGTCATTCAAAGTGAGAAGGATACTATTTACTTAGAAAACAGAATTGAAGAGTTCTTAAAAGGGTTACAGGTAACTTTTCTAGATGGATGATTTGCTTTGATTCGTGTTTATTTTATGTGTAAATTGCTTATTTATTGGGACGTACTATACATATAGGAAACAATCGAGAATTTTTCGGATGAAGAATATAATCGTCACGTGAACGCATTAATTGAAAGGAATCTAGAGAAGGATAAAAATTTGCGTGAAGAAACCGGAAGATACTGGGGAACAATTTGTTCCGGGTACTATGATTTTAACAGAGGTAATATTCTAAAGAAATGTGTTAGCCAAGTTGGTTGCGTACTGATTAACATTTCATATAATATAACCATCTTTCAGTTAAAGTCGACACTGAGTATCTACGTGAGCTTAAAAAATCTGAACTTCTAGAATTTTATAAAACCTATATTCACCCTAAGTCATCGACCCAAAAGAAAATTTCGATTCACTTAAGGTCTCAAAATACTAAATTGATTAATGAATTAAACAGCATTGATGTGAAAAAGCTTCATGAGCTCATTTCATCACAAGGATTTTCAGATGTCACTGTCGAGGACTTGCAAGGTACGATTGACACATTAAAGATACAATGTGTAGGATTAGAACAGGATGAAATCGAATCAGTAAAAACGGATGTCATTGTGACTAAAATTGGAAGCGAAGTGGGTATGAAGGTATTAGAAGCGCTGGGAGAAATGAAGAATGGTCTAATTGATAAAAAGAAGACACATGAAGGAAAAGTTGACGAGGGAAAAGAAAATCAGATGCCAAATGGAAACTCGGAAAATAAATTAGACGATTCACAAAAAGAGAAAGATGAACACAAGTTATCAGATGAAAATGAAATTATTGATGATATAATTTTGTTCAAGACCAAGATGGGGTTGAGCTCAGCTCCTTATCCTCTATTACCTTTAGCTAGCTTTTACGAAAAGTAGAAAGCTTATACCCACACTTTATTTAGAATGGAATTAAGCCCCGCGCCTTATTCTCTTCTTCCTTTAGCCAGCTTTTATGAAAAGTAGACTATATTCTAAAGTATAATATTCTGAATGTATTCTATTATTAAATTATATGGTCACACGATGAACTCATTGGCATCCGTAAATCATACATTAGTTGTAATCAATTAATAGCGAAAAAATAAATTCAATATTTATTTATTTGTAAGGAAATTGTCAATAAAACAAATTCTTGATCCATAATACTAGTATTTCTTTGCACAAATTTTTTATTGCTTATCATTAATCGTTTGTCCTTTATCGGTACGTTAAAAACCAATGATTTCATTGGGTAGAACCAGATAAATAAACTTTATGAATATACGAATAACATGTACTGTACGCATAAAACTACGACTAGTGTTATCGGGTGAATAGGTAAGTACTGTATATAGATTTGTTTACGTATACTGTAGTAATACAGGTAAGGCGATCAACAAAATAAACTATAAATAGAATAGATAAGCTTAGATTTGTAGATCATGTTTTTCTCTGCGCGTATCCCAAAGAAGTGTGTCGCCTGTATCTTGCATAGTGCAAACAAGATAGAACCAGGTTTGCCTAAGCAGGGTTCAAGAGTAGTTTTCTGATTGGACGAGGCGCCTCAGAAGTTAAAGCCTTTCTTTTATTGCGTTTCGTGGGACGCGACGCGAGCCGAGGCACAACGTAGTGACAGGTTCGTCAGCCGCCCCGTAACAATAGGAAACGATATATCCGAGGCGGTTTTTATATTTCGTTACTTAGCAGCCTAAATTATATCATAATTATTTAGTTGTAAAGGTTCCCGGAATATCTTATAAGAAAATAAACGTACACGTCAAGTAAATATAAGCTCTCTTATAATGGAATTAAGTATTAAGAGCTTTTTAGATATGATTATTAAAAAACCATTTGGTAATTATCATTAGTCCGGAGAATAGTGAAGGACTATATATTTCTATAAAACCGTCCGTCTGTCCACCCCTGTATTTAATTTAATGTAAATATGCTATTTTCGTATTTTTAACATTATAGTTTATATTAGTATACAGTAGTCAAGTTAGAACACTTTGAAACATTCGTACTTTGTAAAATTTTGGGTTATAATATATTCTACCGGTAACTTTTTATTTATCTTCTCCAAAGAATCTGACAAACCAATTTTTTTATTTCATAATTTATGGGGGTTATCTTTTGTTTCTGCTTCTCTACAAACAAATATTTCAATGATCGTTTCGGTAAGATTACAAATCCTCGAGTGTTACCATTTACAGTTTCTATTTCAAATACAACTTTGGTATCACTGGTGTGGTAATTTTTGATCTTCTATGGCCTCATGAATTCCTCAAAAACTCGATGACATTTACCGTTTTCTACATGACCTCGTCTAGATGTCTTTTTACGGTATTCGTGGACAATGGGATTTTGATAATTTATTTTCTTGCATCTTCTGAGTCTAACTTTTGCAAATTACATCAAAGGTGATATTTCCTTCTAAGGTGCTTTGTTTATTTTAGGAGGAATAATTAGAACTCTAAAACCTATTACAGTATATGCAAATTACTTTAAACGGTCTGACGAACTTGTGCGTGATTACTCGCGCGTATATTTATGCGTACATATTGAATTACAAATAAATATTTCGAAGAAACAATTTTCTCTTGAATGTCTTTCCCATAATCCTCTTCTGCATTTTTCGTAGAACATTTCCATATTTGAATGTTTCGATAAGCCCTTTTCTTCGAGAAACGCAAATTTCGTACGTTAATCGGAGAACTTATACAGTATTACGTATTACGTATTGTTTGTGCGTAGACTAATATGTCTATAAATTTTCTTTTCAAGCTTATTGTGTGACATGGATTCAATCATAAGCATTGATTTGGTATTCTATAACTCTTTATGGTATTGTTATAACATTTATGATCGAGTAAGTAAACAGTCTCAAAATTCTCTACTTAAGCAGCAGATTTTGTTGATTTGGAATTCTCAGTTTCCTTCGATTACGATGCCTACAATTATCGCTGAAAATTTTTCACAGAATTTCGTAGTTTCTTCTGATAAGACTCATTCGGTTTTTAACATCCCTATTGAAAAATCGGAGAATGACGATAGGGAATATCGATTGATTAAATTAGCCAATGAATTAGAGATATTGCTAATTCATGATCCGAAGACGGACAAATCAGCTGCTTCCATGGACGTTCACGTTGGACAGATTAATGATCCGGTATTTCATCACTATCATAAATATAAAAGCTTGATAACACTCGTGAATAATAAGTCTTTCTCTTTTTTATTAATACAGCCAGATCTTCTAGGCCTCAGTCATTTTTGCGAACACTTGTTATTCTTGGTAAATCATAGGATTATTTGATCTTTAAACATACAGGCGTTTCAAATTAATTCATTTTGTTTTTTTAGGGAACATCCAAAGTATGTTATATATTATACATCACATGTTTTTGCATTTTGGATAAACCAGTGAAACCCAACATGTCATCTCATATAGTACCCTAAAGAAAACGATTACTTTGAAGTGTGTATTTAACGTTTTTGCTTGTTCTGTACTATTAATATTTTATACTCACAGCTACTATTATGTTCCATAGTACTTGAACAAACACAATGGATATGGTAATGCTTACACCAGTGCGGAAGACACAAACTATTATTTTGAAGTTGGTCACGAATTTCTCGAGGGGGCTTTGGATAGGTAAAATTTCGATTCTTTATTTTTGTGTAAATGATTGTTATTACGTCTTACTCAAAAAATAAAATAAAATAAAATAATGTTTTGTTTATAGATTTGCTCAGTTTTTCATTCATCCTCTTTTTAATGCCGATTGTACAGAAAGAGAAATTCGCGCTGTTGATTCAGGTGAAAATAATGTCTTTTATAATATCAACCATTATATATTTTTCTTAATTCTGCTTTTTTATTTAAACATATTTACAATTCAATTATATCAATTACAATAGAATACAAGGGTTATCTCCAGGATGATGATTGGCGAAAACTTCAGTTGGAAAAAAGTCTTTTTAATCCGAATCATCCATTCTCACAATTTGGAGTTGGAAATCTTGAATCTCTAAAAGAAATTCCTCTTAAGTTAGGACTGGATGTCAGAGAGGAGTTAATGAAGCATCATAAAAAGTATTATTCTTCTAATATAATGAAATTGGCTGTGTTAGGAAAAGGTATGTATATTTGAGGGGTGAATGTTGCGTACGTGATGTATTCTATTCATTTTATGTAACAAGAAAATTTTATTATTGTGAAGAACCTTTGGATTTGTTAAACAAATGGGTTATCGAAAAATTTTCGAAAGTCGAGAATAAATTCTTAAAGATACCTATTCCTGACGGACACCCCATAACAAAAAATGAATTGGGTGTAAGCTTACTCTTATTTCTAAAAACGTTTGCTTGCTTTTTACCGTGTGTTGATTTTTTAAAAATTTTATTACTTATTTACGTAGAATCAAATTTCGTTGAAGCCAGTTAGGGATCAACATTGTGTAGAAATTACTTTCCCAATTCCCGATCAGAGCTCATTGTATGAGACAAAAGTAAGGATAAACCATGATTTTTACATTTTGCAACGATATTTACATGAAACCCTTTAATTTCTGAAGCCTTTTAGATTCTTATCCCATATAATTGGACACGAAGAAAAAGGATCAATACTATCCCTTTTAAAAAAAAAAGGTAATCAGCTTTCTGCGGGGAAAAATTATTATTATTATTTACTGAGTTAATTTCTCTGCGTATCTAGGATGGGCAAATGGATTATCTAGTGGATCCTCTTATCAGTGCAAGGGATTTGAGGTATTCCAAATTTCAGTTGATCTTACCGAAGAGGGATTTGGTAATTATCTTCTGAATTTATTCGAGCATTTCACGCTATTTATAGTAGCAAATCATTAACACAAATCAAATAGGTCATTATGAAGAAGTTGTAGAAATTTCTTTTCAATTCATTAATATGCTAAGAAAACTTGATCCCAAAGAGCAAGAGCGTGTGTTTAAAGAGGTACATTTAAAACAATGGTCATTATACTGAATTGGGTCACAATATGCTATTAATCGGTTATCAATATTGGGAATCATAATCCAATAATCTCATAGGTTCAATCCGTTGAAGCGATCAATTTCAAGTTTCAAGAAAAGGGTTGGCCGTCTTACTATGTCGCAGGCCTTTCTAGCCAAATGCAACGGCCATATCCACGTGAATGGATATTGAGTAGTCCATACTTAACCCGAAAGTACGATCCGGTGTCCATTGCCGAAGGACTGAATTATTTAAGATGGGACAATTGTATTATCTTATTATCAAGCAAATTACTAGGTGAGCTTGACAAGAAGGAACGATGGTTTGGTACGGAATATAAAATCGAACCAATCAATGAAAAATTATTAAAGGTATGGATAAAGTACTCTAATATGAGCTTTAGAACTTTCCTAAATCTTGCATAACATTTTCCACAGACCTTGCAAAGTCCTACATTGCATCCTGAACTCGAGGTTAACCCAGTAAATGAATTCATTCCGTCAATCTTTGAAGTTAACAAGCTTGAAAGCATCAAGGTATATATAAGCATATTTATTTCTCAAAGAAAAAAAAAATGGTTTGTTTTTATTAGAAAAATATATATTTTATAAATGTAGCCCTTGGAGCATCCTCATATAATTAAGGATACGAAACTAAGTCGTCTCTGGTATAAAAAAGATGATCAATTTTGGATTCCAAAGGTTGAAGCCCATTTTGTATTGAAGACGTATGTGAGATCAGAGTTACTATTATTCCGAATAATGCGCAAATTTGATGATTTCAATTTTAAATGACATGCATTATATTCTTATAGCCCAATCGCTTATACCACACCATTACATCATGTTAAAACGCAATTATATGTTAATCTAGTTAGCGATTCTCTCACCGAATTTTCTTATGGTGCTTCGATCGCTGGTTTGGGTTACTACTTTGATAGCTGGGGAGACGCAATCGCAGTATCTGTGTTTGGATACAATCATAAAGCAACTCATTTTTTAGAGAAAATTCTTGAGAGTGTAAAAAATTTTACAATTGATCCAAAGAGGTTTGCTAAAATCAAAGAGGAATTGAAAAGATCCTATCAGAACCGTTTGCTTGATCCTCCAGCCAGCCTTTGTTCATACTTCGCGTCATATATAATTGTTCAAAATGTGTGGACAATCCAAGAAAAACTTTCAGTGTTAGATCAAATCGAATATGAAGACGTGCAAGTATTCTATCCAAAATTATTTAGGCATATGTTTTTTGAGGGAATAGTACACGGCAATGCTAATAAATCGGATGCTATCGAAATGATGGAGATTGTCGAAAGAACACTGGGGTCAGAGGAATTATTACCTTCACAGTTGATTAGTGATAGAAGCACATTGTTACCAGTAGGAAAGAAGTATGCTTATTTTAAGGAAGTTTTTGATAAAAAGGAAATCAATAGTGCTATTCATTACTGCATACAAGTGGGAGATACGATAGACCCACAAATGAGAGCGAAGTTATACTTGTTTGGGCAGATTGCCAGTGAGCCGTGCTTTAATCAACTGAGAACAAAAGAACAGCTGGGTACTTTATTTTCTACTAATAACTTGTAAAATTTTCTACTAATTTATATAATGATTCATAACACCTTTATATTTATTATTATTTTAATAGGGTATTCTGTATATTGTTATTCAAACGAGTTGGTCGGCGCAATGGAGTTCCGAGTAGTTATTCAAAGTGAGAAGGATACTATTTACTTAGAAAACAGAATTGAAGAGTTCTTAAAAGGGTTACAGGTAACTTTGCTAGACGGATGATTTGCTTTGATTCGTGTTTATTTTATGTGTAAATTGCTTATTTGTTGGGACGCACTATACATACAGGAAACAATCGAGAATTTTTCGGATAAAGAATATAATCGTCACGTGAACGCATTAATTGAAAGGAATCTAGAGAAGGACAAAAATTTGCGCGAAGAAACCGGAAGATACTGGGGAATAATTTATTCCGGGTACTATGAATTTAACAGAGGTAATATTCTAAGGAAATTTATTAGCCAAGTTGGTTGAGTACTGATTAACATTCCATATAATATAACCATATTTTAGTTAAAGTCGACACTGAATATCTACGTGAGCTTAAAAAATCTGAACTTCTGGAATTTTATAAAACCTATATTCACCCTAAGTCATCGACCCAAAAGAAAATTTCGATTCATTTGAGGTCTCAGAATACTGAATTGATTAATGAACTTAATAGTATTGATGTGAAAAAGCTTCATGAGCTCATTTCATCACAAGGATTTTCAGATGTCACTGTCGAGGACTTGCAAGGTACGATTGACACATTAAAGATACAATGTGTAGGATTAGAACAGGATGAAATCGAATCAGTAAAAACGGATGTCATTGTGTCTAAAATTGGAAGCGAAGTGGGTATGAAGGTATTAGAAGCGCTGGGAGAAACGAAGGATGGTCTAATTGATAAAAAGAAGACACATGAAGGAAAAGTTGGCGAGGGAAAAGAAAATCAGATGCCAAATGGAAACTCGGAAAATAAATTAGACGATTCACAAAAAGAGAAGGATGAACACAAGTTATCAGATGAAAATGAAATTATTGACGACATAATTTTGTTCAAGACCAAGATGGGGTTGAGCTCAGCTCCTTATCCTCTATTACCTTTAACTAGCTTTTACGAAAAGTAGAAAGCTCTCGCCCTCACTTTATTTAATATAGAATGGAATTAAGCCCCGCGCCTAATTCTCTTCTTCCTTTAACCAGCTTTTATGGAAAGTAGACTACATTCTAAAGAATAATGTTCTAAATGTATTCTACGTAAATCTATTCTATTATTAAATTATATGGACACATGATGAATTCTTTGGCATCCGTAAATCAGTTGCAATAAATTAACAGCGAAAAAATAAATTCAAGAATATTTTACTTGTAAGGAAATTGCCAGTAAACAAATTCTTAACTCATAATATTTCTTTTCACATATTTTTATTGTTTATTATTAATTGGTTGTCCTTCTATCGGTATATTAAAAACAAATGAGTTTATTGGGTAGAGCAAACATTTGCCATTTTTCAAAACAGATAAATAAACTTTACGAAAAACATGTACTGTATGCTAAAACCTACAATCAACTAGAAAACGACATATCTGAGGCGGCTTTTCTATTTCGTCACTTAATAGCTTAAATTATATCTTAATTATTTTAGTTGTAAAAGTTCTCGGAATATCATAAGAAAATAAGCGTACGTGTCGCGCAAACTAGTAAATAAAAATTCTGCCATAGTGGAAATGAGCATCAAGAACTTTTTGGATATTATTATTTAAAAAATCATTATTTTTATTAGTACACAGTAGTCAAGTTAGAACACTTTGAAACATTTCTCTGAGCACCGTTGCTTTTCTAGTCTCTGTTATATAAAATTTAGTATAAGGTTACTACACAGTATCGAAAGTGATATAACGATCGGCGACTTTTGGTGGAAAAGTGTTTGTACTTTGGAAAGATTCAGGGGCCTAAAATATGGGTTGGTTCATTTTTGAGAGATGAGTAGATGGTAGATTTATTTTGTTTTATTGTTTTATCGGATTTGTTGCTGTTGATAGTAATCAGTTTTGTTTTGCTTATATATTACTGATCTGGAGAAATTCAGTTGCTATGTTTAGGCTGTTTTGTTGCTTCTCTTTGAATAGTGCCAAAATATTAGGTCACCCGTATACAGTATGTGATTTTATTGATTATGAGTTCCGACTGCTGTTGTGAGAGTTGTGTTATAAGAGGATCATAGAAATAATATACTATAGGAGTGATAGTGTTTTTCCTTAATCAATACCATTTGGTACCATTAGTTGTCATGTAATTTCTTGTAAGTATTTGAAAGAGCATCTTATTAGTATTTTACTAGATAGGGTAATAAAATTTGGCGTATTTTGTCTTTGCATGGATTTTTTAAGCATTTTGAGGTTAACTGAGTCAAAGGCAGCACCTATATCTATTAATGGGATCTACAATTCTTGTTATATTGATTTTTTACATGGATAGAGTTGAGAATTTGAATTGATTCAAAGGTACTTTGGTTAGAAAGTCTATTAAGTTTGTTTTTTGAAGAACTTTATTGTTATATAAAATAGTGCTAAGTCTTTTGAGGATTTTTATGAAAATTTTTCTGAAGGAATTAATTAAATTTATGGGTATAGTTTCTTTTGTATTGTATTTATATTGAAGTTTTTTGCTTATAGAATAAATAATGGATTTTTTCAATTCTTAGAAATTTTTAAAATAAATAGAATTTGATTAAAATTTCTTAGAGATTTGATATAATATTGTTTGCACTTTTTTAATAAAATAATAAGTGACTTCTAATAGATGTATTTAATTTTATAATTTTATTAGTATATTGTAGATATTGAGTTTTATGTGTGAATAATTTGTAATAATTTTTCTATTTGTTGAAAATAATTTAATTTATGAGTCCTTTAAAGAATTTTTTTTTGCAGTGATTTGTGATTATTTGTTAAATAATTTAGGGTTGGTTATTTCTTTTTCAATTATTTAATTAATTATTTTGACATATAATATTTGAAAGTTTTTTGTATTTAGATATTTTGTTGAATTATTATTTTTTAACTGTATTGAAGATTTAATGTGTTTTTTAACTAATTTTATAATATTTTTTTTTATAATATGTTTTTCAATTTGAAAAGTTTGTAAATAATTTTAAAGAATTTTTAAGCAAAAGAAGCTTTTTTATTGTTATTAAAAAATAGCTTATATTTTTGTATTTCCTTAAATAATTGTAGATTGATAAGTAATGATTGTATTTGTTTAAGTTTTATATATGAAATTTAATTTGTTAAAGTTTTTTATATAGAATAATTTCTTTTTTGTTAGTAATTTTCAGTTGTTTTAAGAATTGTCATATTAAAAGTAATTGGTATTAAGTTTGTATTGGATAATTTAATTTTCAACAGATCAAATATTATATCATGTTTGAAAGAGTCGACCATCAGTAATACACTGTTTGAAGAGCTCTTCTTTATATTCAAGTTTTTTTTTTATTTTGACTTCTTGTAATAACTTTATCTTAGTTAGTGTTTCCTTTGATGTATTCTTCTTCTTAACAATAACATAATTGCAAAGTTTATATTTTTGAGTAATATAGTTTCAGCAGATAAAAAATATTCATATGTATTACTATTAGCAAAAATAATACTATTGAACTAGGGATTTAACTGGTACTATTCAATATGGTATTTATAAAACCAATATTAAAAATTCTTTTTGGTTATGATATTGATAATTACAGTATTAAAAATATTCAATATAAAATTTAAAATACAGATACCAAACCAAAAGTACTGAAATTAAAATTTATATTATTTGAAACAGTTAATTTTGTTATAAATTTTTAGTATATTTTAAATATTCTAATAAATTCTAATATTTTGTATATTTAAGATTTTTAAAATTGTTAAATTAATAACCTTAATCAAAATTTTTTTAACAAAAATGCATAAAGAAAACTGTATATTGTTACACTTGATTTTCACTCAAGATCATCATTACCTCTTGCCTGATTTTTACTAGCATTTACCCTTGAAATGTTATCCATTCTAGAATAATTCTTGTATTACTATCTTTGTTATTGTTTAGTACTGTACTTTTCATGCTAATGTTGCTCTAGAATATTTCCTAATTTATTTATTTATCTTTATTCTTGTATCTTCGCCA